GTAGAGATCACTTATCAATTATCATCGTGGGCAAAACAGTGTCAGTAACTGCCAATTAAAACAGATTGGATAACGAGAAACAAAACCAAAAAACTAGAACAGCACCTTTGCCTTGCCCTTTTCCAGGCTCAGCTTCACTTCCCTTCCTGTCCAGTGTTCTTGTCCTCTCTTAAATATGTTTTCAGAGGCATCACTGACTCTGCTGATGGCCTCAGCTGTGGCCTGCAGTGGATCAACACCTTAGAAATCCCTTGTCTTCCTTGTCCCTTCCTATGAAACCAAATCTTATTAGCAATGTTTGAGGAATGCTTGTGTCAATTCTTCTGTCTAAATAATGTTCACTAGTCACAGCTTTAGGGAACTGAGCATTTTCCTCTGTGTAACTGATTTTTTCACCCGAATTCCTGTGATATGGCTCACACGACAAGCTGTTACAATGACCTGAAGCATGGACTATTTCAAAATATACCCCTTTTTCATACTGCATAACCTCTGCATCACAATCCTCTAAAATAACATTACACTTGAAAATCCAGCTGATACCATAAGATTGTATTTTACAGCTGTTATATATCAGCAATTTTAAGCTCACAGTATTTTCCATGATGCCATCTGAATTCTTCATGAAATATTTTCTATTCCCCCACTGCACAGACAGGGATTTTATTACGAGGCACCTTATCTCATGGGCAGGGTTCTTAATGCTTATCACAATGCCACTTTTCTATTTACATACCAGGATTGACAAATAGATTCTATCCATATTTTTGTTTACTGAGCCATTTCCTGTGCGGAAACAAATTTGATTTAAAACAGCTCTGAAGTCTAGTGATGGAGAAATCTAATATGTGTCTGCCATACAAAGGTGGGTGAAAGAAGTGCAGCAGTCTAAGAGTCAAAATGGAAAAAGAAAATAGATGGGGAAGTCACTCAACTTTTATGCTGTTCTTCTAAACCTTATTTTCAGGATAATTTTTTGCCACGTATGCCTCTTATCTCCCTCTCAGGCTTCTTAATCCCATATGTTTAAATCCTTGAGTTTCACCCCCTGGATCTGTTTCATTTCAAAAGCAGGAACACAGAAGAAAGATTTCTGAAAATGAAGGACACTAGTCTTTGGCAATAAGAATCACGAAAACAGAACTGACTCTCACAAAGGTTCATACAATTGTTTCAGGACTGAGATGACACAGGAATGGAAGAGTCTTAAGAATAGAAGAATTAAATTATGAAACAGAGCTGGAGAGACTTTTACATAAGTGCTGTTCACTTCCCCTTCTCATCACTACTTTTTTCCCTTTGTTAAACAGAGATCAATAAAATCATTCCGCTCATAGGTAGTTGGCATCTCAAACCCATCCTCAAGCTATTTCTATACATTCAAAATAATTCATATGCAGTAGTGTAGCGTTTAATCTTCACGAAACAGAAAATCTGAGCTGAAATCTCACAAGAACTCCAAAATTCTCTCTGAACTATTAAATAAATCCCATTTTAAAATGCTGCCAACTCTGAGAAAAGATCTGTAAATTATATCATTTCCTCAAGACGTTTTTTCTAGGAAAAAAATGAAGCATTCCAGTGCTCTGATACCACAGAGAAATTTGTTTTCAGACTAAAAGAACGTGAAAAAAACATAGTCAGCAGCACGAAAATACAGGTTTCCTAACTTTTATTCACTGAATACGAGACTAGCTTTGGTTCACTCATCTTACTAGGAATTTTCCCAGTAAAAGGGAGAATGTTGGTAGGAGCAGTCCCTGAGACTGTGATAGTAACAGCTCTGCTGGCAAAGTGTGAAGTACAGATGGTGTCAAAGATATGCCAATAACTTAAGCAGGAGCTTCCAATAAAATCTCTTGTAGTGTATATTGTACTCAGTGAATCAAAGTGAAAGGGGCAAGCCGGGCTCTTTGGCTCTTTTATTCCACACTTAGGCAGTTTAACTACAGTATATGCAAGTGCACCCCTCAGGGAAAAGTCTGGGCTCCAGATGTGTTTGTATTTGTCCTAGGCATGAGCTATCTCTAACCAAGTTGGTTCAGAGTCTCCAGAGAAGAAAAATCATCATCAGAAACACGGAAATTACTTCCATGTGATCTACCTTCTAGTGACAGAACCATAAAAAAGAGTTTCCCCAAGTATTCCTTTGAGCTCTTTCCAGCTCATCATTGCATTCAATGATCAAAATATAAACCATTTCAGAACATGATGTCCTCCTCCTGCTTATGAACATTGCTCAAAGATTTAAAACCACAGACAAGCCATGCTAAGGCTTCTACTTCACCATCGATGTACTTACAACACCATTCTCCATATAATTAAGCTTCTTTTTCCCAAACTGGAGATTGGAATGCACACTGCCAATCAGATCTTCTACTGACAGAAAACCAACACATAAGGTTCAGACACTGAAGTGGCATCTTCATGTTATTATATCTCTTTTAATTAGCGTTACTTTTCATGTAGGGTAAATAAAACATTAAGGAGCCAGCCAGACAGATAAACGACGAACTGTTGTTCAAACAGCTCCACGAAATGAGCAAGAATAAGGCCTGAAGAGTGTTGTATTTACCTCTGTAGCTCCCAGGGCACTTTTAAGAACACTGGGTCAGGTACACTGAGACATTGAGAAAATGTGCAATTTCTTTCCCACTGAGCTGTCAAGGCATTCATGCTGTGAGCAGCTAACACCCCTCCTTTGACAACCAGGCAAATATTTCTATTTTCTGCCATTTTAGTCATGAAGTATCTCAGCATTGCCTTAGTTGATTTAGTGCCAATTCAAGTCAGACTTTAGATGTCTGAGCTAGTAACTGGACAAAATATTCTTGATGAAGCCTTGTCACAAGCTCATAAGACTGCTGTTTAATACATTTCCAAATAGTTAGATAGTAAAAAAGCTGTAAAAGCTGAAAACGCTGCACAGAAACAGAATACACATTCAGTGAACTGCCAGATTGGGGATTTAAGTGACACATACAAGTCAAATATGCTGCTGCTTCTATTTATTGTTAGCATTACTTTAAAAAAAACAAACCAAAACAAAACAAAACAACCACGTAAAGTTATATAAGACTATGCCATTCCTTGAAATCAATTCTTTAATTCCCATCCTTTGAAAATACATGTATTTAGAGAAGCATAATTGATAACCAAGTCTATCCAGGTAGAACTGAGGCAAGGCTAAATGAACACATCCTATTCAAGAGATTATTGCACATAGATACTACAAACATTATTTTTTTTTTCCCCTCAAAACAATACCATAAAAGTAGAAGACAGCATGAAGGGAATGCTTCCTTCGGTGGGGACTGATCCCATGGAAGCTGCTCAGAAATCACGGGGATTAGAACTTCATGGCCTTTTTTTTTCCATGGGCTAAGAATAAGCAGGCAGTAATAATGGTTCAGTGTGTGAACACTCAAATCCAAAAAGCAATAAAATAAATTATTTACAGTGCAGACTTTGTGCTAAGAGCTCAAAGCACTTTTGAGACTGGATTCCATCCTCTAAGCCATGCTGCACTGCACAGTGCTCCCTTACTCAGACCTTCTATTTCAGGCAGGGTTTGGTTTAGTGTTTTAACTCCCATACTTAAAATCTACAGAGAATGAAAACGTCCATTAACTGAATATGCCTTGAACAGTACTTACCAATGCTGGCATAGCCAGGTGTTGATGGATCTCCTCCACTGTTCAAGGAAACCATAAAAGCTTTATCAGCAAGCTCTGCGGTCTTTGGCAAGTCACAAGGGTCAGCGTAAAGGAGAACACCACCAAAGCCTGCATCTTCCAGCAGGGAAAGCTGGGGGAGCAAACCAACACAGGTGACTATTAACAGCAGTGCCAGAACACATTATGGTTTATTCCAATTAATGCTGAGATAGAGGCTTTATCATGCATCAAGTTCTCACCACACAATGCTCTGTACAAACCAAATAAAGACAGGTGCAGTGCTGCAGCGTTTGTAGCACAGAACCAGCAGCTATGACACAACAAAATCAACCCCCCAGAAAACTATTTGAAGTCATGTTTCCCAAGAAGCTCGTGCCAAGAGCTTCCTTCAAAGCCTAATGACAAAAAAAGAATCTTACTTTTACCTGGTATGTAGCATTTAGAGGAAACACAGAGCTAAGACTCACTACAGTTGCATTTGAGATTTGAAACTGCTGCATTTTCACCTCTTTTATTTTGACAGAGAGGGGTGGTGTGTTGGAGGTTTCCTTCAGAGGATGCACTGGACATGATTCAGTCACACACACAAAGAGATACGACTGGAGCCACTTTTCTCCCTGCTCATCAGACACTTGCTGGACTTACACCCTTAACAGATTTTCATGTGATAAAAATACCACCTTGAAAACGCCTCAGTTTTGAAACTAATCTTACTAAAACATCTTGAGTTGATCTTCCATATATGTAAGACACTTTTGCTTAATTTACCTCCTCAGGGACACGGGCATAGCACATACTAGATGTCTGTATACACTGGCACAGGATTTCTGGACACTTACTCTTCAATTAAGATAGAAAACATAAGGAGTTCACAGATTAATAAAAAAATTAAAATTAGATTAAAAAACCCAGTCTATCTTACCCAACCTGGAGTTTGCCTCCTGTTAGGCAAACAGCTTTTATTCTGTCTCATTAGAACACCAAAGCTTGAATTGGAACTTCTAATTAGCCTTTCCAAAACTCTATAGACCTGGGGCAGCAAATCAGGCAAAATTCCCCAAAGTCAAGGACAAAAGCATCCAAGTACCATAACTTGTAGCAGTCTTTTTGACTGAAAAACCTCAGGTTTTCCCTTTCATAGAGAACTGAAAAATATGGGGATTTTATTCTAAATCATATGAAATCAAACTGTAATGTGGCAAATAGTCCCATGAAACGAGATGACCTTTCTGTGTAATGCTCTGCACATTTGGAATTGACTGAAGACCTACTACAGTGATACAAAGCTATATTAATTTTCCAGACAGAAGTAATTCGGATTTAATTTAAGGATTATCTTACTATTCACTATGCTGCTCTACTGATGGCTTTGCAAATGGCTCCAAGTGGTCAGAGCAATGACTGCAGGTATGTGGTGTTTCTGAACCACACAACTCTGACTCCACAGGAACCCGAGAACTTGTTATGACACCTTCGTTTCTCAGTTCTTCTTCTCCTTCTATTTTTCAGACCTTTTATTTTTTCCCGTGTGTATATATACAATTTTCAATTTATTCCCCAACTGCTGATATTAAGGACTGTTTATGCAGAGTTCTTTGTGGCTTTACAAGTATTTAAATTACAGGAATATATGGCATTCAGTTGAAGCCTCATAAGCATTTGGTGTTTAGTTCTGCTTTTCTCAACAGCTAAGACAGAAAAAAATAATAAAAATAGCAGCCTACTATTTACCATTTTATAAAAAGAGCAATCTGCTATTTCTATAAGTAAACATATTTAATATTGTGATTTGGAAAGATTTTGACACTAATCTGAATTCAGATAAACAGAAGTAAGTGAACCTGTGGATCAATTAATCTTATTCAAACAAGCAATCCATGGATGAAAAGGGATTCTTTGAGAGAACTCTCTTCAGATGAATAGGAGTGTGAGAGTAAGAGAATGCAACTAGCACAGGTGCTTAAAAATGAAAAGGGTTAAAAAGGTATTACAGACCTTAAATGTAATGCAAGAAGAGAGATTTCCAAAATGGTAGGTTCATTAATTATTATATTGTTCTGTTTCCAGTTCATGCCCATGTTCAGATATTCAGCCAGAATTTTATTGCATATAAAAGGGGTGGGAAAACTATGGAAGAAGCAGGGAGATTTAAAATAACAATTGCCTTTTCCTGCATCCATATCCAGTATCTTTTTATTAATCCCTAGTTTATTAGTAGCACATAAGACGGGAAACAGAGATGCATTCTTTCTCATTTTTTTAAGAGAGTTTTAAAAAGTTAACAAAAATCACTATTAAACTCCTCAGTTTCACCAAGAGAAGGTAACTACACATCTGTTATTCACAAAGTGCAGCAACCACTGCTGCCATGGCCACAATCTCTGGTAGGGATTTGTGTCACACATGAAATTACAGAACACCTTTCAGATTTCAGCTTTAATTGTTGCTTTTTAACTTTACAACAGTGACAGCACAACCATACCAACAATAAATAGTTACTGTTGATTCCATTTTCATCTCAAATAAGTCAACACTTTACCAGGCAAAAACTGACCTAGCACAAAGAATCCAAGGAAGGTACTGCACTTTTTTTTTTTTTTTTACACGGAAAAGGTTGCAGGTTAATTTCTTCAGGTAAACCAATGCATTTCTATTCAAATCAATGGATTCTCTTAGATTGCAAAACCATCCAACACCAAATCTGCTCCCCATGGTTTTGGATGTATGCCTCCTCCATCTCTCAAAGCCCCAAACATCTCAGAATAAAGAAGAAAATTCAGACCCCTTGGAAATAGATGCTGGTGCCCACTGTTAACCCTTCAGTTATTTACAGCTGCTCAAATCCTCAGATTTTAGAGTCACTTAAAAAAGTGTAACTGTTTCAATCCAGTATATTAAATCACCCCATAAAACATTCTGGACTCAGTTTAATCTAATCTGAGTCGCTGCTTTATCAAAGGCTGTGTCGAGTAACTGGGGACAGATTAGCCTTGTAAACTCTACACACCATAAGGCACCATTAAATTGCCTTTTAAAGATGATATGGCTGAAGCAGTGAAAAGACAGATTGCCACAGTCTATAGAACTCGGTTTGGCTCTAATGGGAAAACCCAAAGCTACTTCTCCATTTTAACTGCACCACCTCAGAAATACAGCAAAGGAAACATTTACCTTTTGCACTGACACACAGGTAGCAGGGACCAGGTCTGCACTGCACATTTGAGATGAGCTTTACTCTTGAACTCTGGCCACCAACCTACTTCAGCTATTGGGTCGAAAATGAGCAAGTTGAGCACAACTCTTTGATTGGGGGGGGAAAAAAAACCAAACAAACGAAGGCAACAACAAACGAGGGGGCTGTTACCTTTCACAGTTGGTTTTAATAAGTTTTATCTCACCTGAGGCCAATGTGCACCTCATGAAACACTTCATTAGGGGTTATATTGGTGATCTGAACACAGTAAAAAAAAACCTACCAAAGAGAACAGACTACAGGCTCCTGTGAATCTCCAGCATAATGTGTAAGAGCTGTCCTTAAATCAAGGTGATAAACAGGGAAGCAATGCAGCAGGTACTGGCCTCAAGCTGTATTTGTTATCTTTCACCTGACAGTAAAGTCTATCTCTCTGAAGATCTTTTCCCCTCATCTCCTCTTTTCAGCTGATACTATTCTTGCACCTTCCAAGCAAGTAATCAGGCTTATTATTTTTCAGAGAGTACATTGGGCCGGTTACCTGCTAAGCACAGAGCCTCCGAAAGATTAAAAATGTGCACGTTGAGGAATGTAGGTGTTTAAGCAGCACCCTCACTTTCCAGTTGAAAATAAAGGACGACTGGATCAGCACTACTAGGATGTTCTGTTCCTGGGAGCCACATCTGGGGTTGAGTTTAGACTGTCATTTCATGGGCAGAGAGCAGAAAAGCACATCACACTTCAGTCTCACCTGGGTTACAGCAAGTGTGAGTGCTGAGATGCTAAGAAAGGGCTTCCTACACTATTCTCTCACTGCATCTGAGCAGCTGAATTGACTCCCTTTTGTTGATTCCCAGCAATAGTTCTGTTCACAAATAATTTAGGAAGTGGTAACGCATGATCAATTGATGAGAGGCATCACAACACAGTATATTCCTAGAAGTGATGGTTAACAATGCTTAGGAACACATCAGACAAAAAAAAAAAAAAAAAGAGATGATGTAGGTCTTGTGCCACTGCAGAGACAGTTCTCCATCTCATGGTGTTCAGTATGCGACAACCACAGTATCATCAGTTCAGTTTGGTACTTATGATTTGTAAGTTTTAATACCAGCCCTATCTATTATTGACAAATATTGCCTCTGTAAGTAAGACTTCTCTAGTCCACCTTCTATGCTTTTTTCCATTTATATGTCTTGGTCCACAGTAATGACTGAACCACTGATTAGTTGGCACAAAAGACTTATTTCACAGAAGAAGTATCTCAATATATTCCCTGCAAGTTTAGTGAAAATGGGATATTGAGTAGACAAGAGGCAGCTCCTGCTAATACACCTCACTGAGAAGGCATTAATTAAAACTGGAGAGCCTACCCCTTAATGGAACTGGGGAAAACACAGAAAAAAATCAAAAGACAGAGAAATCAAAAGACAGAGTAACGATGTAAAAGGATACAGAAACTTGGACCACAAAATCCAACCTCAAGAAACAAAACTGTGAAAAACCTCTTCACTAACCCATTTGATACATTATGTAAGATAAAGCAGGTTCAGGAGAGGACATATTGGTTTATAATTCTATATAGAGTGTGACTTTGCCATCCTTACTCAAAACAAGTAGCACTAACAGTGTGTCTGGAAAACTTGATTTAAAATACAGCAACTTTCAAACTCATTTCCCCACTTGTATATACACTGATGAGGGATTGTCAGCACTTGATAAATCAAATTCTAGTGCTGGGGAAAAAAAATGAACCGTATCTCTCTACTTTACTAGATGTTCTCTACTGTTCCTGAGCTCAATACAAATCCACTGACATTTTCTTATTAGATCTAATTCTGCTTTCAAGACATAAGTCTTCAGACTTTCGATTCTTACATATAGTTAAAATGTATCAGTAAATCCATATAAATTAGCTGCACAAGAGCATTTAAGAG